TAAATATGAAATACAAAACTTTAAGGATATATAAATTTTGTAGAGTAAAATAGAATGTTTGATTATTTTGCCCATAAAATGATGCTGCTCCTATGAACGGTTTTTATCTGCGAATTAAATACATTACCGATGAAGCCTGAATACTTCCGAACATATTTTATCTCCGCGTGGTTTCTGTTAGTGACGTTACGTTAAATCATATAATAGCCATTTTGTAAACATTGTTGCCGTTAGCTGTATTGGAGTGTTTTAAAAAGTTGTTTACAGTGGATTTATAGTTATTTCTTTTTAAAACTTTGGCGTTTTTATTAACAATTATTTGCAGTTGCAAAGAATGTCTAAATCAGTATCGGAAATGCAAGAAAGAAAATAAAAACATACATTTTTTTCGCTTTCCTAAAGAAGAACAATTAATTGTATAATTATTAAGTACTTTTTATATAGATAAATTTAAATTTCTTATAAAAATTGATTAAAAATTCAATTTTTATAATATAAATTGTTCTTTTAAATGTCGATAGAAAAATGTGGACGCCCAGAATTAATAATGCATGGATAAAACGATTTCAAATTTACATAACTAGTGTAACACCATTTGGAAGTTTACTATCACTAAAATGACATATTTTCTATATTCTTTACTCTAATTGAGCTATTTAATAAAATAACTTGTAATTCTGCGAATTTACTACTACATAAAATCTATCAATCAAAATTTTAGTAAACCTCTAATAAAAAAAATGAAAAATTAAATATGTGTAATTTTACATTTAATACATATATAGAAATTTTACTTCAATACATTAGTTATCTAATTTATCTACCCGTTTAGACAGACACTTTATTAATTAAGTGAAAATTGTGATAAATGTAGGTGTAAGTATTTTATGTTCATGTTTATTCAATATTTCGAACCGACAACACTTTCTTCAGATATAAATTTTTATTGCCCAATCTGGCAACGTTTAGCATTCTATTTAAAGGGATGAGGTTAACGGCGGCATTTACGCCACATCAAAGGAGTGTCGCATATGGGTTAGATATGTGGTATAGATATAATTATAATAGGTTAAAATATAAAAGTGGAATACTTACAAAAAACTCAATTATTGATATTTATAGATAGATAGATAGATACATTTTAGACATTGACATTCACAATTTGAATAAGAGTTTCAAGCTACAATTAATTAATATCACAAAAATAACACATCTTGTTAAAATCGGGGATTTATTAAGTAGTAAAGATGTTTGTACACTGAAATGTGATTGTCTACTGAATTTCTAATGATACAGAATTTCTAATAATAACCTAATAATACCGTACATTTTACACCTACGGTATACTTTTAAATTGTCTAGCTAGCTAAACTGTTGGAAGAAATATTTGTGCTGAAACTGTATTTTTCTTATTAAAACACGGTGATTACCTTGCCTGTCCGACCATCTATTTTTTATAAATACGTGCTGACTGCTGGTTGGTGAAATACCTACCGTATGTTCTTAAGCCCAGACGTCAATTTGTTGTTTTTAAGTTTGTTTGTTGTATTAAGTACTACTTTTTCCGGTTATTAATTGTTTCAAAATATTCGTAGTAGTTTCTACCGGATTGGAAATCTGATCAGCGCCATAAAAAAGCACCTAAGGAAGACTCCAAAGAAATTGACAATATTTTGGAGTTGATGATATCAACAAGAAATTCTGTTTGTTTTATCTTTAGAATGTATAAAATACCACAATTTATTTATTAAATAGATCGTACCTAATCAGGATAAAAATAATGGCAAATTATAACTCAATTAAAATAAACAAATCTATACATGTAGTTACATTAGGTCTCAAGTTATGGACAAGTGTGCTTCGCTTAGCAAAAAATTGTAATTAATACCGTTCTGTGAGTTCATCAAAGTATGTTTAAGGCTTCGTCAAACAAAAAGACAATAAAGCACCTATTGTCCACATCATTATTTAATATTGGTAAATATTGATACAATACTTTGATTAACTTTCCTCGATAAATTTTTAGTGGGGTTCTATTACCTTAACGATTGGATATAATACTTCTCTGGCATATTAAAAAAATGTATTAAAATTTCTTGTCATTGCAAATAACAATAACATTTAGTGTACATTCATTAATAATAATTTATTATTTCGATTACTTAAGTACTGTCATAAGTATAAAGAGTTTAGCCGTACTTCCATGGCGAAACTGCCCCCAATAGGAACCTATTTCGTAACCTATGTTATTTTGTAGAGGGAGCTAATAGTAGTTGATCGAGTAGATGTTTAGCTCTATATCTTAGTTAATTTAGGAGCTATTTGAAAAAAAATGTCGATAGACAACTTTCTTTCAAAGCGATATATCTAAATGGCAGTGTTATGGTACACTTTACAGTTTATTTTATAGCAGTTCCTATGGGCCAAGCCTTGCGTTTTGACAGCGCATAAAAAGTATATCATCGCTTGGTGGGGTCAACTATTAGCCTATTACAATGTATTTTTGATCTACTTTTATACTGATTAGCGAATCGAATTTAATTCAGTTTGAGTTAAGATAAAGAATTCTTAACTGCCCTTTTTTAATACTTTTATTTAGGCTTGGCCCATAGGAACTACTATATAAAATAAACTGCAAAGTGTACCATAACACTGCCATTTAGATTTATTTTCTTAGCTTTGAAATTAACTTTGAAAAAAAGTCGTCTATTGACACTTTCTTTCAAGTAGCTCCTAAATTAACTCAGATTTAGAGCTAATATCTACTCGATCAACTACTATTAGCGCCCTCTACAATATAACATAGGTTACGATATAGGTTCCTATTGGGGGCAGTTTCGCCATGGAAGTACGGCTAGACCCTTTTTGGATATATAAATATTTCATATGAAATATGAATTATTTCCACTTTTATAAATTAATGCTATATAAAATTAATTTAACGCGATGTGTTCAAATTATAAAAATTGTATTAACGGGTAGGTACGTTAACGTAGTCATCACAAATTTGCTTTACCAAAAGTTAATTAAATCTACCCACTTTATGAATGAGGTCATCCGGAGCGAGAAAAGGATTATTATTTTTGTTTATTCGCCAAATTCCAGTAATTAATTTTTAAGATTATGTTATTGTTTTCGTACAATTTCTTCCATTGATTTTATTCTTTTTTTTTAATTTAGAATTTTTTTTCTCATTCTTACTAAATGTGTAACAGTAATAGTTGTTAAGTATATTTCCACCTATAAGTTTCAGGAACAGACCTGATATAAATTTATATGTAAAAATGATTCTTTGTTGAATTTTAATATAAATTAGTCTTTGTTTTATATGAAATAGAGGTGTAAAACTTGATTTATTTCTTAATTGCAATTGTTTATTTTACCTTCCTACACTGCTTAGATTTTAAAATACCTATTTAGAAATTTTTATTTATTTTAAGTCCCTTCAGTCGTCAGTTTATATTTTGATTATTCGATTATAGCTTGAAATTGGTAGGTATATTCAATTTCATTGAAGTAAGCGTAGGTACTTAATTTGACGACGTCGTCTATTTACAGGACTTCATTACGAATGTTAGAGAAAGGCAGTGAGTGTATAATACACAATGAGAGAAATATTTTATGAACATAAACCTCAGTGAAATATGAAATATCCGCTTTAATCCAGATAACAAATATATTAGGTATATTGTAACATGAACTTTCATTTTCCACGAGAGGTTGAAATCGCGCCGTTTTTAAGAAATACTCAACCGACCTTTCCAAAATCGAACATTTATTTTTTAATATACAGGGTGTCCAAAAACGAATAGGCCATACCTCAAAGGTATATCGCTTGCCTTGGGTGAAAATGAGCCGATTTAGATTTAGAAGTTGTCTTATTCCATTTTAATTAACTTATACTACCATAACAGTTTAAAGAAGTAAAACTGTACAGAAGTAACTTGATTTAAACGGTTTATTTTCAAGGAAGCTTCCCTTGAGGTACGGCTCTTTCGTTTCCAAACATTTTGTATATTAACGAATAGAAGCTGGTTTACTATGGGACAATCAATTGCATTTTTCTTAAAAATTGTACTTTTCCAGCTGATGCGTCAAGTGTACCTTTTTTCAAGTGAAATGGAAATTTACGTTTTCATGTAGAACATATCTACACTGTAAAAAACGTAATCTCAAAAAAAAATTTGTCATCAAGTGTCTGAGAAAGGTCCTACACATTATTTTCTAAAAAAATATCGTTAATATTTGATTGTAAAAATCGTTTTTGACACTGTATCTCAAAGACAAGAGACAATATAGGCTCATGGTCTATAGGGAAAAAAGTAATTTAATTTCTTTATGTTCTATTACTCCCAGATTTATGCTACTTTTTACAAAACACCCTGTATACGTGATAAATTTTATTTCTAAAATAATAATTTTATTGTTATCAGAAAAAAATTAAATGATGTGCTTCTGGTAGTCGAGGTTGCTAATGTTGTTACATCAACAAAAGTTTATCTACTTCATTAATTGATAAAATCGAGGTAAACATTTATGACACTATTTTGAAGGCGGAAAGTGTATGATAAGATTGATCGTCGGGTATATCGAAAAATATAAAATAAAGTAGGTACTAGTATTTTATTCGAAAAAGAAGCAGCATTCTTAGTTAGATACGAGCGAGATATCTCACTTCGAATAAAATTGCTTAATTTTATAAAACATCAGTAGTTAATAAGTTTTTGAATAGTTCATTTGATTTTTTCAATAAAAGTAAAACGTTACCTTTTACCTGTATTTGAATAAGCATGCATACTATAACGTGATCAGGATCATATGAGATAAAATCGCGCAAAAGAAACATCGGATTCTATATAGGTACTTATTTAAAAGGTCACTTTGTACATACTCGTATAGCGTTTAACGGAGGACGGAGGTAATGCCGACCTTTTCTAAATTTATACACCACATGTCACAGCTTCGTTTGTCGGAACAATTCTATTAAAGCAGCTACACACCTGTGCAATATTTCTCCCTAGTCCAAGCAATATGCATCCTGTTACTAAGGAAAGTTTACTTTTAGTTCTCGAATAAACGTACCTTTTACAAATGTAGCGACTCGACGACTGGTATCTATCTAACCTTAGTCTGCCTTATCTAATTTAATGTTAATAATTAAATAACATTTAATTATCGGCCTGTCACGAATCAATTCAATGGAAAAAAAATTAAAGCGACCAACTTTATTTTTTTAACAAAAGGTATTTGCGTTGTGCCTGAATCTGTAGGAGTTGATAACTTTTATTTTCTTATGTTCAGGACAAAGCAGATAAGAAATTAGGGGCAACGGAAATATATTAATTTTTTTAATAGAAAATATAGTATTGTTTCGTTATCGTTTTAAAACTTATCTACCGCAAACTTTAATCAATAATTTATTAATGTATTATTTTAGTTTTCTTTTTTTCTCCATCTTTCCATTCCAGCGATTTTTTTTCATTTTTTCTCCATCCAGGATTTTGTATTTGTATATGTATTGTAGTGTATTGATGTTTTTTATATTTAACTTTGACCAGTGTGTTTTTTTTTGACCTGTTTTCTATGTATGTACCTAATGCATATGAAAATAAAGCTTTATTATTATTATTAATGCCTACATATAAAATAATAAAAATATATTCTTTGTAAATGTCAATTTTATTAAAATGATAGGTATTATGATGTGAAATTCCTTATGCAATTCATTTATAAACATGCAAGGTTGAGAATTCGGTGGTTTTAGTCAGGACGCAATTACCGGATTGTGTAAAAGTCTGTCAAAGGTGTCAAATTAAGAACGGCCACCGAAATTCAGGACGGTTGGCAACCCTAACTTTACTAGGCACGCCTTGTGAGACCGCCGCAAGAGGCATATTCGTGAAGTCGATATTCGTTTTAAGATGAATACCTCGTAATTATCATATTGGATAATTAAAAAAAAAATTAAACAAATCTTGAGTTAATCCTCAACTTCCAACTGGTTTTGCTTTAACCTTTGCTAAACATTCATTAAATTACTTCCATAAATAAGAATTAATAAAAAATAAATAAATTTGCTACCGCATTAATATTTATTGTTTTACCCTCGAATGCTGACGTGGATTGTCACATTCTATAAATTTATATACAGAAATGAGCAACTAACTCGGAATACAAAACAAATTATAATATTTATCGCCGTCTCCAGCAGAGACTGTTCCCACTGCATTTATAGAATGATAGATAATATTAATTGATTTTCCCATTTTTTTTAATAAAAATGCAATTAAATCAATTATGTTTGTTAAATTTATTGCCACTTTATATACACACACATATNAATTAATAAAATAATTTGACCTACTTGATGTTACAACAACTGTTCAAAATTATATATATATATATAAAGCCAAAAAATTAGACGGCTGTCTAAGTTAAAAACCAAATTTCTTTTTTAGACGGGGATGCAGCCAATGATGAAAATGATCAAACAAAATGAACCAACCAGTTCATTTTGTTTGATTTCGGATTTTTGATATATATATATAAAGTTGAAATTTTCTTGAACCTTTTGTTTAATATTAAAATATATTTATTTTCTTGGGAATTGGGCTCTGGTGTGACAGTCAGTTAAAAAAAAAAGGATAAAAAACAGCAGCGATTTCTTTCTTGACGTTTCGTTCCTGATCAGGAACTTTTTCAAATGGCTTTTATTATTAAAATTGTTATAATTAATAAAATTAAAACCCACAACAAACAATAACTTACTTAATATTTTGAATTTTTTTTCTGTAATTACAATTAATTTAATAAGACCATAATTTCGTTAATACATACCTAAACAACAACCATTTTACGTCAAAATTTTAAAAATATGCATCAATCGTCATACAGTGGACATATTTTCATAATATATTATCTTTTTTCATTTTAAATTTGAAAAAGGCCTGCATTTTTTAATATTGTAAATGTGTCTGGAAAATACTTTTAGTCGGCAATGTGGTACGTGGATACGATGAAAATAAAATGAGCAGTATAATAATTATTATGATAAATTCGAACAGGTAGTACGCCTGGTGGCGAAATTTTGTAAATTAAAGACAGNTATATATATATATATATCTGTGTGTGTGTTTCTCGTAAATGTTTTTTAAAGAAAACATTTACATTTTAGGCATTCTAGACATTAGTAATATTTTTTAGGTTTTATTTACATATTTTTTATGTTGAAAAGGGAGAAAAAACGTGTAGTATTCGGTATTGAGATATTATTGAGAATGCAACTGAACAATTATTCCAATCAAATTAAGTGGCCTTAATTTTGGTAACAAACTCTTTGGCAACAGGATCCAGCAGGGGAGGGTCCCATCATAATCTACTTAACTTAACAAATATACCGAATACCTACTACTTTTAATTTTTGGTTAGGAATTTACTAACAACTAACCTTGTTATACAGAATTATCAAAATTTATAATAAGATAATTTTTAAATACAAAAAACGTAAACAAGAAAAGAATAATGTAATTGGTGTAATTGTTTTATTATAATTTAAAACATTTATTAATTTTTAATTAATTATATATGTACTTAATGAATTTTAATTATTTATTATTATTTTAAGTTTTTTGACAGTTTCTTCGTTATCAATGATTTCCATTGATTCGTCTTCAAAGTTAATGTAAATGCAGAAGCAAGTAACACAGAACATTTAATACGGAAAAAGTACCTATGTAGGTTCATCGGAAAAATTAAAACAATCTTGATGATTTACGTGTTTCTTTTATCATGGCATAGCAGAGTCTCAAAAACTATTCTTCAACAATTCATATTCATTCTCCCGCACACTATGATTGTTTACTTAATGGATAATTTTGTCAATCTGACGAGATGCATCTTTAACTTTCTTTGAAAACAGTTTTATCTCCCTGGATAAGGTTGCTTTGGTCTGCTATTCGTTCCATTACATGTTTTTTTGCTTAAATATGTTTTTAGTATTCACATTTTTGTTGTGTAGACTTAGTTAATATTGACAATAATGTTAATGTAAGGTTTTTTTGAAGCAATAATTTTAAAAACATTTTCTAAAAGATTTTAAATGTTATATGTATATACAATCTCCTATAATAAATATTATTCAGCCATGACGAATATTTAAAGTAAATATCGAACCGTTGACTCAGGGGCGGATCCAGAGTGGATTTTGAGGGGCGGAAGCGCCTGTTGATATCAGTATCGGACTGTTTGGTTTTATATCGTGGGGTATGGAGCTGTTGGGGTTTATTTTTATGGCTTTTATGTTGTTTTATTTGTACTAAAAATTAAAAAAATCGCTAGTCAGGCAATGAAACGTTATTTCTTTGCAGTATTCCTGACTACCACTCTTTGTACATAATCTACATTTTACGGTCACTATTCGCATACAACACTTGAATTGAAAACCATTACTTTCCCTAATTTCCTTCTAGTTCGATTATATTATATGGATTTGTTTGTAATAGCATTGGCCTTCTAACAAGAGTACATTATTTTTAGAAAATTTAGAAATTTGAGCCCGATTGGTAAAAAACCTATCCTTAAAGAAAATAGAGAACTTAAAATGTTATAGGAATGTAGCATAACCAGCTCCCTCTATGAAATATCCAAAAAACAATTGGACCAGTGCATTTGGCATCCTTAAAAACCCCAGAATAGCAAATTTCGTTTGGAAATTTTCGTAAAAATTCTATTTAAAAAATTGTATTTTATCGCTCTGTATCTCGAAAACAAGACTCCTCTTGTTATGTAAGACAAAATATTGTTAATTTCTTTTTGTCGTACTATCACCCCCCGGGAGGTTTTCCTGAAACAGCCTGTATATATTTTCATTTTTATCGTATCGACGTACCACATTGCCGATTAAAAGTATTATCCTGACACGCTTACAACATCTAAAAATGCAAGTCTTTTTCAAATTTAAAATAAAATGAAAAATTTGTTCACTGATTATTGATGCATAGATTTTAAAAAATTTTTTCGGAAAATGGTTGTTGTTTAGGTTTTATTTAATTAACTATAACAATTTTAACAATAAAAGTCGTGGAACAGCGAAATGGAATAAATTCAGTATTTCAATGATTACCTATGCATATTTATAAAAAATCCCGAGACACGTCGATTTTGGATTCTGAAAAGACATCCTGCAGCAACATAAAAATTTCATCCCTAAATTCAACATCCTTCGAATGGCAGTTACAATCCCTAAATTTTTAAATGGGTACCATTTTCATTCTCTATTCAAAAATACTATGGTTTTCATATTTATTGCAAAAATTAGCAGTGAAGAAATTAATCTAGCAAACTATTGCCATTTCAGTTTATGAAAAGAAATTGGGGATAAGTTCCCGAAGTGAGCTGAAAAAACTTCTTATTTCTTCCATATATTTTTTACTACCCATTGAAACTATATAGGGTAATGAAAATCGGTATGTATATACATATGTTTTCATAACCAACTTTTTATTTTCATATGAACACCATATTGGATGTTTGCACCACTCGATTAAATGAAACATTAAATTTTCGAGTATAATAGTTTAGTGAAAATAATTGAACTATAAATTTCGATGATTCAGTTTACCATATGACTAATAATATTATAAGACTTATTAAATTCATCATTATATTTTAACAATATTTTTAAGAAAGGTTTTTATAATTGTGACTGGTTTTCTGTTTTAAGATAATTCTATGTTTAAATTGATAATTTTTTATTCAAATATTATATTTGTAAGTAATCTATAGGTAGGTACCTATATATAATCAACGAGTGTTACCTAGATATTCAGTAATGGATTTTGTAGTTCCTCCTCAAGGGATAATTAAATCCCAAAAGCTCGAGAAATAAAAACAGTTTACTATTAAATTGGCTTTGACTGCACACCCCACTCTAAAAAGAAATTTTTTTATATGTTTTGTGTTCATGATTTACCTTTCCAGTCCATATTTACGATTTTGGGACATTAATTTGTTTGGACGAAAAATAGTCAATTAGCACTATATTATCTATAGTACACTTCAAAGTAAATGTTGGGTTGACATCTAATTCAGATAATGCCTAGGTGTGCAATCAGAAGAGGTGCGAGTTGCGCACAAAAGAACAGAATGGACCGTAGGCGCTTTCGGGGTATATATAAAAGACGATCCACCAACTAAATTCAAACATATCGTAAAAGATATTTTACAAGAAATTTGTTCGTTCTGCCCTAACTCTACATGTAAGTGATATCTTATTTTTACGTTCGGTTGATGTGTATTTTTTCGGAAACTGTTAAAGCATCTATTTGTTTCCAAACAAATTATGTGATAAATTCTTATTGGAATGTACGTTGGGTTTTTGGTAATAATTATAATTTTACGCTGTCTGTTATGTATTGCGAATATTTTGTTGTTTTTTTTTTGTATCACTTAATTCATGAAGCGAGGATTTTTTTTATCAAATATTTTAATATGTTGTAAAAAATATAAATCAACATTTGCTCCAAATTTAATGCATTTACATAAATGTATGTGTGTTACACATCGCTATTTTTTTGCACAAAATTATTCACGACTAAAAAATATTGTTTCTAATTATATAATAAAAATAAAAAAATCAAAAACATACCATTTTGTACTATTATCAAAAATGCATTAAGCAGAATATCGTGGCTTTTTATAATTCAGGGCACGCGTTGAGATTTTTTTATAAGCAATAAACCCACTTAAGTATACATTTTTCTTTACCACCCAATTGTATTATTCAAACCATATTGTATTCAATTCCAAATTCTAGAAACATATTTAGGAATTTTAACAAAGGAGTCTCACGAGTCTTTGAAAACACGTCGCATATATGACTGGGATAAGAGATAAGGCAAGGATATTATATAGAGATAAAAAGCGCCAGAAAAATAATAACTTTACTCTAATGGACAGTAAATATATATATTGATTTTTTTTATTTAATAAAATATATTTTCTTAAATCAAAAATAAAGAAATATGTAAACATGTTTTTCTAAAATACATATAGGATTTGTTTTGAGAATAAGTAATTTTTTAAATGTAAATTACGCATATCAATAAAATTAAAAGTAAGTCCATAATCTAATATGTATAATAAATAATAGTTTAAAAAACAGTTGACAACGTCCATTTGTTTTTATACGATAAAATTATCGGCGAATATACGTATATTTGAATACAATTTATAAATTAGAAATGAAACAATAATCAGCCATTTCTTAATTAGTTATGAAAACATCAAAGCTGGGTTTTTCAAGGAAAGCCATACTATGTTGAAAGCGCCAAATTTCATTTTCGTCGTTTCATAGATATTCGGCTAATTTATCATTTTATCTGAACACTTGGACGTCCTCTATCTTAAAACCAATATTTTAAATTATTCATGTCGCCATTACAGTATTTTGGACATATATGTAAATAGTAAGTATTATCTATATGAACACTTTGACTATATTTCAATTTATAATAAGAAAATTTTCTAATATATATGTCTAGGGATAATCCGAATATTTTTCTTCGCACCTATTCCAGGAAGTAGGCAAAGTAACATCTCTTTTTTTATATTATGTATGCATCTAATATTATAATGCTCTTAATACTTTACTGAGTAGCATACTTTTTTATTCGACTTAGAAGGACGTACACAGGAGAAAACGAAAATATTTATTTCACCTCTATGTACGAATTACTAAAATAACTTATCCGGAAACTGTATCTATATCATTGTAAATGGAAACAATCCTGGCTAGTCGTAGTTTTTCATGCAGAAGTAAATGGCTTTTCATATTCATTTTCAAGAGAAGGATATTTGCCGAATGATATGTCAAACAGGGTTGCTTTCAGAAACGTGTTAAAACCTAGTTACTCTTTGACAACCAGTGAAAAACATTCCTGTGTAAGTAACACGTCTGCTGGGCAATTGAAACGTGATTTAATTTAATCTAAAATTAGGTATTTGTAGAAGAAACATTCAGTTAATTATTTCATCTCTTTTTGTGTCATTTCTAAATCGTGTTATATCACAACGTTTCGCGTTTTATACCTTTGTTAATAATTCAGTGGAAATAGTCAAAGCGTTTTCATAATTTCCAAAGAAATGAACAAATAATATTGAATAAAATATATAGGGTGTTGCTTAAAGGTATGTGAAAATTAAATGAAAATAAGGAATAATAGGAAGTACCCTTTGTAAACATTACGCGTAGGTATATTAAATGTACACAAGAGAACAAGAGAAATAAAATACAATAGTAAAATATAGAAATCATTTAAATAAGTATAGGATGAATTACAAATTTTTAAAATATTTCTTCTCCCACCGCAAAGGTCTAAGTTGACTACTAAAAGTTTATCAATTCACATATTATATTAATAAATATATTTATGATACTTGCTATTAGCCGATGAGAAAAAATTAATACTGATTTCAAAATTTACCCATATATAAAAAATGTCAAATTTCAGTACATCCAAAGTTTTAGTTATTTATTATGTATGATTAAAGGGTGTCGTTTAATATTACAGAACCAAAATGCAAACCTACACCGTCTTTTCTTTAATTTTTGGAGTCGTCACCCTCATTTTAACATCCTCTATATCTAAGGCGTCAGTTATAAGCTGTCCGCCAAGCTCATTTCAAGAACAATCCAACCCCGCTCTGAGACAATTATGTTATGCTATTGAACAAGCCGTCGACGAAGTAGTGCCACAACAAACACAATGTGAGTAATTCTCTTCTTCATTATTTTGCATTTAATTTTTTTTTGCGTAAATGGAAATGTGTACGAAATCTGAATTAACTACGTCTTTTTTATTTAATTTGCCAAGCCGAATTATTCGTTATTTTCGTAGCGTCGTTAATCTGTCACGTATATTATTTTCTGCAATAGCAAACACTTATTGTCTTCATATATTTGTTTGGAAATATTTTGTTATTATTATCTATTATAACTTATACTAGGATTAGGACACAAATATGTACGTAATTTCATTCCTAACTTTATCGTAAAAAGCTTCTGTTACAGGAAGAGAGAATTTTGCATGTTACTGAAATATGTAGTTTATAAAACGTAAACATGTTAAAATGTATACCTCACGTAGGTATCACTTTATACTGAAAAACTGTTGTAACCCGAGATGTCTGTGTAATAGGAAATACATATTATATGTATATGTATATAAGGATAAGTACTTACCTACCCGCTTGAAAACAGATTTTTACCATTTGATCTCGTTTTAAAAAAAAAAACAAATGAATATAGAACAGATGCAACTGGATAGGTATGTACTTACTCGACATTCGTTATTTTCCCAAAATCATCAACTTCTTTTAAATGGTAAACGGTAATGTGTATTGGCGAGTATCTTTACCGAAATTAAAATATAGCATAAAAACTACATACGTACCTATTTATTTATATTAGTCATCCTCCATAATGCTCGTAGAGTATAAATTACTATTACTTAAAGTTAAATAACATCAGAACGAATATACATAATATGTGTTTCTGTATTCAAAAGTGGGTTTAGAATAATAATAATAATATACCACATAGTCCAATAGTCGTGCATGTTTTTTTTTTTGCAAAAATATTGTTTTATTCTGTTCACAGTTCCTGGAAGACTTGAAGAGAGGAACACCAACTTGAACGCTAAGAGACAAGATGTGGATCATGTATTCTTGCGATTTGGAAGGAGATTTGGTTTATAAACGACTACTGGCTAAACGCTTCACGTTTTTTTTTGCTGTAAAATATTTATAAGATTCGATTGTTTGAGCTTTTTAATGATTGTTTATACAATATATAATTAAAATAAATTACTGAAATGCCAATATTTTTTTTTAAATCCTAAATTTAAGTATAAGTATTCAATACTATACTAGAAGTTTAGTTATATTCAGAGTATTATTTAATAAATAATGTATTTATAAATGTGTTTTCTATGAAGAATAAAAATAAAACGGCAATCGTAACAACTATACCGACTGATTTTTTTTTAGTCGGCTTCACAACCACTATCGATCGTTATTGTTTCCTCTGTAAACCACCAAGAAGCAGGGAGACTATTTTGTTAACTTAAAATGAATTTTTGGCAACGAGAGCGAAAATTTAACTCCCGACATTTTGTTAATTTTTTTTAATTTACAACGTGAAAAAAATACCCAAAAAAAATCCGAAACCAAATCAAATCGGAATCGGAACAGCATCAAATATTTATTAGTAGTTAAAAAAAAATCCTGTAAATTGTTATACCCTGTATACTACATATTTTTTCAGTTTTGGGGAAGTAAGGTCATTAAGACAAGTTTAACGTTAATTAAGTTTAACAATACAATAATTATTTAATTTGATTATTTGAATATTTTATTTGCAATAACTAATACAGAGAAAGAAAAATTAAAATCATTAACAAATTAAGTCTATAACATTTAATTACCAATTAAACAAATTTTCTATATTAAATACTACATGTTTTACTTATCGGAATACAGATATGTAGGTACACATACATATTATGTATGTGTGTAGTTGTAAATTTTATAAATAAAAAAAAGTTGTACACTCGTACATGTATAAAATACACGTAATCACATCTATAAAATAAATTGTATGAGTCAGAGTATTAGAACACTCAAAAACTCTTACTGCTACTTACTGCTTTGGCATGATTAATTAGTCTGAAATAAGGACATGGTAATACAGGTATACCATATAGGACTATTAGTTGGCACTATCCAACTTATCTATATGTGTGCAGGATGGTTAGTTAGTTTCTAAAATGATGTTCATTATTATTTCGGGTTAATCCATATACCTAGTATGTCAAAAGGCGCATTTCCACGCTGTGTTGTCCGACGATCTCGTTAGCAAATCAATTTGCCGAGCACTCGCTGTTCACGACCTATGATACACTCACGTCAAATTGCAATTTCGTATGTCCCGCGCCTTGTTCTTGATTGACCCAAAACTGGTGCAAACTCCAAACATCGTCTTGACTAGCCGAACCTATGCCTGGGAAGTGGCTTTTAGCCACTTAGGGATGTAGTATGTTATTTAAACATCAATTATTTTCCTACCATTTTTTATATATCTTCCACCTTTTCATAAAATTTATAATAGAATACTTTAATAATATCGGCTTTATATAATCTAGTTGAGCATTTAAAAAGTCACAGACTGTTTATAAAGGTCGGTTATGAGTCGAACTTCTTTAATAATTATTATTATAATTTAATGCCAACAAATAACAAAACTAATAGGTACAGTCTTTACTTTAGAATTCTAGAGATACATAAATTTCCCAATTATTAGAGAAGTAGCTATTTTTATAGAACAGTCCAATATGTTTATGTACATATTTAATTTATATTACAATATAATATATTCACCTATTAAGTAAAATATGAAAAATTAAAACACCAAGTAAATATAATAAAACTTATTATTATTTTAACAAAAAAATTAAATATGAATAAATAAAACGGAGAGTATTGTACAAAAATGTACATATTTTTCTCAAAATATCTACGTACGCTTACTATGGGGAATAAAGACGCGAAAGTGAAAAATACAATATATTAAAATAAAACGAAAGGCTACATACATTTCGCTGACTTGGCTTGGAAAAAAACTGACGTTTTTCCCATTATTTTGTCACTCAACGCCATTATGGTAGCAAGATATTTTAAATAACATTGTTCCTTTAATAAAACACGAACTTCTTTATTAAAACTATGTTCAGTTTGTCTAAATTTGTTTTTTCATATACATATATCTACGAATACATTGACCTCACTCACATAATTTAATTTACATACAGCAAAATTGATTTTCGTTGAGTCCTATAAAATGCAGGATATTATCGAAAGTGGGATTTTAATTTTATAATTGTTACTATTTTAACAAACTGCATGTCAAATTATAGTCGAGGACATAAAGCACAAAAAGAGCCGAAATCTCCGAAATTTTTCGATCAAGTCGTATCAAGATGGGGTTTTTTGCATTCGCTTTCTAAAATTATGTGGAAAAAATGTATCAACTTTGTATTATGTTTTTCGGCCAAATTGCATTTGTGCAGTGCCAAATGCATCCGGAAAAATGCATTTTTTAGTCACTTAGAAAAAATTCATAACTCGGTTAATAATGCCTGGAATGGACTCAAATCAGGGTCCTGGGGGTTTGCGAGGTCGCTGATCCCGAATATGACCTTCAAATTGGTCCATTAGAATTGATGATGAACGTCATCTCAGAGGCTTCTCCTGAATTTCACTCTTAAATGCAACGAGACTTGACACCCGGAGGTTTTTCGGGTCGCTGATTCCTAATCTGGCGTCGGCGAGCACCCCCCGGACACCTGGTGCACCGGAACCTGGACGTGGACGTCATCTCCGGGAATTTTCCTGTAAAATTCGCGTAAACGAGCCGAAAATCGCATCAGGGGTTTTTTCGGGGCACCCTTCTCGAAATCATCTTATAATATGACGCATGCACGACTGTGGGCCCCCAGACCGGGGCCCTCGAAAAACTATCCGGGTCCTATACGTCAATTGATGATGAAAATGATATTTAGTAGAATATTTTCAAATTAAAGTTAATAGTTGATTAGATTAGGATAAAATGGAGTTAGTATATTTGAGTTAAATTAAATTGCAGTTAAGAGTAGGTTAGAAATGACAATTGATTTGGAAATAAATGATTTTGATTTGTTTTTGAAACAACACTTGTATAAATTGTGACATTCATTCAATTTATTCCCTCTATTTTCAACTTGCATATTTTAAATGAGATCAACAATTCCAAACAAGTTATTGCAGTATTAATGGTAGTCTCAAATATATTGAAAATTCACTGTTTATTGATTTTTCTGGCGATGACGCCGATTTCAAGGTCCAGGTTCCGGGGGGTGGTCGCCAACGCCAGATTCGATTTTTAAATACCTAACAAAAGTGAATTTTTGAAAAACATATTTTTTCTGGAAAATATTAAAAAGCACATAATTTATTCGTAATGTCCGAAAACCTATAAAATGATACGTTTGATGCTCATAAATAATCAAACCTCGGAAAACTGTACAAGATTTTCCAAGAATTTTCCGCAATTTTCTTTTCTCTAATTCACTTTTGTTATTTAAAAATGAATTGGCCATTATTTTGGCTCCAAAACTTTTAATTATCACATAATCGGTACTTCATTTAAAAAATATAAGGGAAAATTATTGGGAAAATCGAAATTTTTCATAGGAGCAATTTTGTAGAGTTTAATTTTGAACAACTTTGATTCGAAAAAATACGTCCTCAAAGAGATATTGGCCGTTTTTGGTAAAAAAAAAGAACGGGAAAAATCATATATATGACTATATCTCAAACGCTGTATGTTGGTAGTGGTTGTGTGTGTGACATGTCTTCTGGACAACAAGTGTTTTAACTAGAAATGTTCCGAATATTAGTATTCGCATTCGTTCTGATGCCACTGAGTATTTTCTATTTGGGATTTAGAAAAAAAAATTCGAAAATAGCTCGTGTCCCAATTAAAATGGAACAAACCTATTTAGGTTTAGGCTTAAGTACCACAAAGTGGAATAAATCTATTACAAAACTGCTCCTATTAAAGAACATTAGAATTACTCTGGATTTATACAAATGTGATAAGTTTATTTTAGAATTAAAGAAATAAGTAATTCGAGAACGGTTCACGCACTCAAATCAGTAATTTTTACTAATTTACTAAGTAAATTTAGTTTAATTTAATTGGTTACAATAGTCTGTTAAAGAAACTTATTATGTGGCGGCTTTAAACCTCCCATTCCGCTTTTTTTTGCAATATTTATTTGTGTTAAATATTTCCGCGATAAAATTGCAATCGAAGGTTACTTCGGAAATAGACTCGAGAGTGTACATACGTTAAGTGATTTCGGCTCACAATTCAAAACCCTATAGAAGACTTATTGCAATCAACAAAGTCTCTATTCGGTGCACCAACAGAACTGCAACGATACCACGTCTTATCTAACTGGACATTTCTCTTTGACATGATATAGGTATCACCGAGGGTATCACAATGTCCGCTAGCTCGAACAGGGCATTTTCCAAATAAAATGGAAGAAACTTTTTTTTCTTTGAAAATCAATCAATTAAATAGAAATCAAATGTACTAATTGAATGTCCAAAATATCTTTACCACTGTTTGACCTAAGAAATATTTGCACAATTTTTTTTTTAATTTTGACCAGACATCTCGAAAATTAAGTCTTTCACGACATAGCTTCTCTTCTCACAAATAATGCAAGGAATCACTTTCTGAAATATTTATGTTTGTCTTAAGTTACATGCGCTCGATCGGAAAATACTAAAGTTAAAACTGTTATATACTATTAACAGTAAAAACTCTTCACGCAATAAAATAATTCGAAACTGAAGTTTTGCATGTCGAATAAACAGTCTATCCTAAGTGTAGGAAAAAAAAATATTGACTGTTTATTCTTATTTATATATCTTATTATTGTTAAATACCTAATCTTTATTGCGTATATAGTAATATGTAGGTACCTATATACATATTATTAAATAAAGAGAAAATCTGTACTTAGTCATTCGAATGGTTTGCGTTGGTTGTGGGCAGATATATCGAGAAAATTAATTCTTGTTTTCTTTTTTTTTTGTTGTAAATTGATGTCTGGCATGCTAATTAAATTCTTGTTGAATGTTGAATATAATCATATTTGTCCTTAGGAATGTACCCTATACAAATAATACGAGTCCATTCGTTGAAGTTACCTTCTATCCACATAGTGAAGGTACGATATTAATTTACTACTGTTTTAACCTGCATTTTAAAGTGGATTACATCTAGTTACTCAAATCAGTGGGTGTTTGTTGTTGTTTTGTTGTTTGTTTTTTCTTTTATAATAAAAACATTTTTGGGTTCACTAATACTGAACAAAGTAAGCTAGCAGATATATATTCTATAGATGCGAGATATACAAAATATTTTTTAATTAATCTTACAAATGAGTAATGTAAAAATAATTAAATTGTAGTGACATACCTACCTCATGCACATTTGTCATTTGTTTGTAGGTAACAAATAAATAACAAATTCAAAAAGAGATAATAACATTGCTCTATTAAACTACATAGGTACTTGTCTATTAAATACAAACATATCAGGATTCGGGGATTGCAACTATCATAACAAATACAGGGATGGTTCTAATACAATAATACGATATTTAAAAATAGCAGTGTTTTGTGACTAAGGAAAAACAGAAAAAATAATATATATACATAATTTCAACAGTGACAATCTAACTTTTCTCCTGCAGTAAAAGGATCGGCTCCGTACTTATGAAGTCGCATAACAAAAAATTAGATAGGTACTAGATGATTTTGCAGGTCTATGTATCTTCTTTAAAGTACGAAACTAGTACCACATCTCCTCCCACGTTGACAAGGCATTGACCCTATAAAGAAACAGTTTAGACAATAAAATTCATTTTGATTGTCTGACGTATGAAAATTATATTACATATATTTAGGTATATGGCGCGACGAGACGTTTTCCATTTGACTTGCTTTGCGTACTGTTATTTATAATAGATCAAACACATCCTTGCAAACAACTTAAATATTCGATCTATTTTTATTTCATTTTTATCTGAATTCAGAAAATGAAAAAAGTAGTTAGGTATTATACCTACCACCGAAAATAATGACTAGAGGGATGAGGGATCTGACGTAATTGTGTGACGTATAGACATCCAGGTGAAGACGTCGTTCAGTTAGTACTGTTATGGTTGGTTTATAAAAAAGTATTAGTCCTAACTAAGCCGTAACTTAACCTTAATCTTAGTCCTAAAAAGTTAAATGTACAGAATTTAATGTATCGGTTTATAAAAATCTTAACCTTGCCCTAGTTCTATACATTACATTTTGTACATTTCAATTTTTAGGACTAAGATTACGGTTAAGTTAAGGCTAAGTTAGGACTAATACTTTTTTATAAACCAACCATTAGTAGTACTCCGACTACTCTGTTCGACGAGTACGTGATACAGATTTTGTTTTCATTTAATGTGCAGTGCATTTAAAATTAGAGTATTAGTTAAAGTGATTTATAATTTTTGTTTTTGATTATTTATATGTGCGTGCATTGTTGTTCTGTTTAAATAACTAAAAAATGCCATGTGTGTGTCTCTGGATGTCGTGGGAATTATAAAGGCGGCCCAAAGGTATTTATGTAAGAAACGGGTTGCTGCCGTCCCTCGAGAGGATTTTTCTCCATCAAAATATAGGACAGTCTGTGAGTTACATTTTCTTAGAGAAAAAAATAATATTTTCTTCAATCGGTCATGATGCGAGAACTGGCCCTAGTAAGTACATCTAGGTTAGGTTAAATATAATAAATTTATATCTCAAACCCACACTGCTTTAACTCGTACAATTTATAGATTATAGGGGTAATAAAATAATGCTTTAATGAACGTTATCCGAATTACATAATATTAGGAAAATTTCAAACTGATGATTTGGAAGTATGGTTGCCACAAAACAGCCGAAAATTCAGGACGGGCATGTTTTATTTGCTTTAAGAATCAAATGAAATTAAATTCAAACTAATTAGTGTTAATAATTACACTAAATAAAGTTTAAAAAAATTGAAAATCAATCCACAGAACATTCGTCCGTTAGTGTTATTTTAGTGGGAGCAAAATACCGAATAAAAACGTATCAAATAGCCTTTGATAAGTTAAATAAGTGACAAAAATTTTGACGCTTATTTATTGGACACCCATGTAAGCATAATTTACAATTGCCGCAAACGGTTATGGAACTGATTTCATTAGATTTTTATATAAAATAAAACAATATGTTTTACGCTAACTGATCATAAAACCTTAATACAATATGAACTTACCGAATAATATAAAATACTGGTAAAAATACAATCCATTATTAACTTTGAATACTCGTTTGAGTTAAAATGATTGGGGGTAATATCACTTGAATGTTTATAAAAATTTATGAACATACTTACCCCATATGTTTCTCTCGAAAAGACTGCGTAATTTATTAAAAATTGTGGCGACACCATATAAAGATGTGTGAACAATTTCCTATTCGCTAAAACTTTTATAAAAATTTCCATAAAATTTATCGTGCCACATAACATACTTTTTACTATATCCCTGTTACTCACGCTTTACTATCCATTGAGTTGCTTTTACATAATGAAGAAAAAGCGATATAAGCTTTCTGCACAAATGTTAATATATCTTGAGGTCTGAGGTGGAACAGTAGTTAATTACTTTGTAACCTGACTACTAAATTGACATGGACCTTGTAAATGATAAATTAATATTGTAAAAAAATTTGGGTAGGGTACCTATATAAGAGCAGTTTTATCAAATTACAGTAGGTACCTACCTATTAGAAAACATCTCAAAAGTTAGGGTGACGTTTCAAAAGGTAATTTGAAAACACAACCGTTGCCTTCTTATAGTGCAGTTGCACGCTTTACATTATAAGAATATTTAAGTAATTAGGGGCAGACTCGAAATACTACCTACAGTAGATGCTGAAATTGTCCCCCAATTGCTTCCATGCAACTTCATTTTTCTCGAAAATGGTACATGCTACCGAATATTTCGACAAGTATACCTACCTTTTTTTGTAGTATGCTTTTAGAGTTTACAAAACCGTTTACAAATGTAACAAATTTTGACTTTTAACATACATATTTTTTTTTAATTGTATCCCTCCAATTATATGTATCGGCGAAACTGCTTTTCAGAAGGAAGTCGTTTGCACGTTATTCTTAACGCACAGTTGATGTTTACTCGTCTACAAGTTTTGACATTTTTTTATATTCCGCCGATTTAAAGATAATTAAGGAAAACCCTATGGCAAGTAACAATTTCAACACGCTGTATCGCGAAAACAGGGCATCTAAGAAAAAAAAACGTTACTTTGAACTACCCTCATTATTTTCCCATGAGGAACTTGCACACCACACAAGTCTTTTTGAAACATGAACGGGACACCCTGTATATAAGTCCGTGCAATATTTGTTGAGATAGAATTCCAAGAAAAGTTCTATTATCCGAACTACTGTAACAATTTACCGCGTCAGTAGCGTGCCTTAAAATTGTAGAATTGTGCCGTTATTTTCAGAATAAACACGATACTCTTCGACTGAGAATTAAATTCCTTTCTTTTATTTTTCACCTCCACTGATTTATTTTAATAAAAAATTACACTGAAAGCATACAGGACGATACAATTACGAAGAAACACACCATCGTAACTGCAAAACACAGTATACACTGCAAGCCGCGCCGCCTAGGTTTTTCTACCCTCGGGTGTCGAACGCTGTTAATAAGTAAGTGACGCAGAGGTATTCTTGGAATTCTATCTCAACAAATATCTTACGGAACGTAGGTAATAATAAGTACCTGGCAAAAGTTAACAAAATAATAATTTCTCACTAATAAGGAAAGAGTTTGTAGAAAGTTGTCCGAAGTGTTCCGCGGTTAATCGTCTCTGACAGGGCTCGTAGCGGCCTGGAAAACGGGGAATACCGGGAGAGGTCAGGGAATTCATTATTCTTCATAAAAAAAGGGAATAGTCGGGGAATTTTAAAAATATTCACGAAAGTCTGGGAATTTGATGTTTGCAACATGGATTCTTGAAAAAGAAAACTATTTATGGTTTTGAAACCTTTATAAGAGGTTCTTTGGGCTTAAAAAAGATTATGGAGCCCAGTCCAGAAAAAGTTATAAGAATTATCAACCCTGCCTGACGATCGGTAGGGAAATACCCATTTCAAAACCGAAAATGACCGTTCAACATTTACCGAGGTCACAGGCGCGTAGCTAAAATAGTCACAGTTTTTAATAGATGCTATTTTTACACGCTTTTATTATTTTTAAAATTTTTTTTTAACTTGTCTGTTAGTATGGATCAAATCTTGCAACTGAACTTTAAAACAGTTGAAATTTAGCATACACGTTTTGTTTGGATGACAATGCACTATCTCTAAACTTACGACTTTGAAATTTTGCATGCTTGTTCAATTCTGATGATAAAACTAAAAAAATTAAAAGTATTTTTTTTTAAACAAGCCTTTATTAAAATGCAGTAAAAACAACAAATAAACCAAGACGTTCATAAAACCCATAATGTTGTGGAAACCCCAAATCCACAAATGGGTTGAATATGGCCTGCTCTACGGAAGTGTCATCAGCAAAAGTATTATAAATAGACACGTACTATCTATAATCAGTATGTTCATGTTCTTATGCGACTTAAAAGCTTGTCACATAATTTCGTTAACTTAAACCTTAAAGTAAAAATTCCAGTTAGGAATAAACCTCGCGACAAGCTTTTAAATCGCATAAGAACATGAACATACTTATTATGGATATGTAGTACGTGTCTATTTGTCATACTTTTGCTTATAACACTTCTATAGAGCAGCCATATTCAACCCTTTTGTGGGATTGGGGTTTACACAACATTATGGGTTCTATGAACTTATTTATTTATTTTTTTCTTTTTAGTGCATTTTAATAAGAACTTGTTTTTAATTTTTTTTTACTTTTCATTTATTACTAATGGTGGCGAAGCATCAACTACTTCACATTTTATTAATCCCACTATCTGCGTCATTGTATGATTGCATCGATCAATTTTATCGATATGTATCTAGCGGCACCCTAATGCCTGTCCTGAGCATAGAACGGCACACGTCTTGACCAGAGGTACGAAGTAACTTAAATGGGGGCAAAGTTGCGTAATGAGGGGACCAACATTATGCCTCTAAAAAAATCAAGGCTAACATGATTAGTTTTCGAAATATTTGAAAAAAACCGAAATTTAGGAAATCCGTTTTTGTTTCAAATCAGCCTTGTTTGAGGTGATACTGAAAAAAGAAGAACTCTTTCTCATGGCCACTTTTTGCGCTCTATCGAATGGCGTAATCAATTTTTATATGTAACGTTTCGTCTCTCCAGGACCATCATCAACTTCATTTTTTTAAATACAACCCTAGAAATTTTATTACATTTTTTGCAAGCTTTTATGACCCCCAATACTGAACTGCCTCAGCACAAACCAAATTCAGACGTTTCGTCTCGAAAAATTAATCTTCAATGTATTCGTTCCAAATTTATCTAATTTTTTTTAGATTTCTATGTTTATTGAATTATCGTACACTCTAAGTGTCGTTAGACCCTGTGAAATCTACCAAGTTATTTAAACTATTAAGTACTATCACACGTTACAATAAAACATTATCAGAGTTTTAATCTCCATCACCTGGTCATACATAGTTCGATAAGTTTTTGCGTCAAAATTAAAACATTATTAGAATTTTAATTCCAGTATGAGAAATTAATTCTTAAAAATGCATATCAACCAAAACTCCAAATGAACATTGTATTTTAAAAAATTACAGTAAATGTTCAAAAACGTTTCCGTTTTGGCAAAAGTACTTATATACAGGCTGTTTAATTTATATTAATAACTAACTAATAACTAATTAAATGGTAATATAATTATTATTATTGGCCGAATACGTCATCACTTTGACTCGCTTGCTGTAAGCCGGCTGGAGTCGTTTGGACGGCAAAATTACGTGGTCGCAAGTGTGGGGGTGCTTTTTTAATCAAACAATGGCAGATGAACATTCAAGTGCATTTTAAAAAACTAATCGACTACTTATTTGATTAAAAAAAAAAGTTCAGATTGGTATTCAGGGGAACACGCGCTGTTACCCCTAAACAATTGACCCCCACTTAAAGTTACACCCTGTATATACATAATATATTTCGGTTACTAGGTTTGAAAACGTTTTTTATTAATTTTTCAAAATCATTTAAATTCATTGTATTAGAAACTTTAAAGGTGACTATCTGTGTCAATTTTTGAACTAAGTAATATTTTTCGTGTATAGATTCTGCTGTTGCTCTATGTCGTATAATTATTTATGATCACACAACAATAATCAATGAGTGACAGTGAATATACTTACTTGGTTTTTATGTAGATTATGTAATAGCACGATTTCAGTCAAAAAGAAGGCAATCATAGCATTTCCACCTAGTGCAGTTACGTGGGCACGAACAATTGCTAAAACTTCGGTTACAAAACTGTGAATAAATCCACTAAGACCTCCTTCCTAAAATAAAAAATATAGTATCTCTTATATCAAAAACAGTAAAAATATATTTACTTCTCGAATTGATGTGGTTTCTCTAATAAAAAAGAAATTTAAGTTGCCCAAATATCTTTCAATTACTCCACCAGGTACATAGGATAAAGGTGTTATGTCAACACCATGTCTCTCCCTATGTGCTATCTAAAAACGGATAATAGAACGGTGACCAAGCAATACAAATATTTGATTTGTTGCTTTTCATAAAAAATATGTGACTAAAGTGTGCTGTTCACTTTGCGACATGGAGCGGCTCCTCACGTACATTCAGTATGTCTACATAATTAAAACACACGCTGTGTGAGAACCATTCATTTAGTTTGTGTATTTGATTCTGCCTTTATTTTGATGTGCCGTACCATGCCGCAGAAATGAGCAGCAAGCTTTAATACGAGCAATATGTATGAAACCCAAAAAAGTCTTCAATTTAATTTTTTTTGTTTCTGTTTTCCATATAAATTATCAATTTCAGTTAATTACATACATGTCTCTGTTTTACTGATTGTGGTCTGTACTTAGACGGTGACTTCTGTTTATATTTCAAAATCCTATTTTGATTGGTTGATATTATACTATTTTCAGGAATTTGGTCTTCATCTAACTTAAATATTAAATCTTCATCTAAAATTGAAATAAATTAATAAATAAATAGCTAATAAAAAAGAATATTATTAAACTGTTCAATTTGCTGTATCCTAAATAGAAAACATAACTAAAAAAGTTACCATTCCGTTTGGTTGCTACAATAACCTTTGCTTTCTTTTGTGTCTTGCCCAAACCAAGTGCCATACCTACAAATAATAAATATAATTTAAATTATATTTATTATACTTGTAGCAGCAAATTATATAGTGATTCAGAACTTATCCTAAAAAAAAATTTTTGGATGTACAGGGGACTCTTACAAATACAATTTTGTAAAGAAAAAATCAAAAAGAGCAGTTCGAAAATGATTTAAAAATACACTTCTGCACGGCACTGGAAACTGGTCCACTGTAAAATCTGACCTCACACAATGGAACCGCCATGGCGGTATGATAAAAACGCTCAAAAACTTAAAAGAATTTCATAAGAAATAAATAGAATTTTATAGCACCTAATTTATATCGGCAAATTCAACTGCTTTTGCCGCTGTTGTTATTATTAATTAATAAAATTAATTTGTGATTTTAGTTAATAAAATAATTTGACATACCTGATGTTACAACAACTCTTCAAAATTTTGCCCATCGACATGTAAACACATTTGGACCCGGCTTAAACAGTTTCTATGAACTAACACAAAAAATGTTGTATTGTTTCACCATAAATTAAAATGATATTCATCAAGTCCGAGTTGCTATACACGCAAGCCATTTTTGACACTAACTACTAAAAAACTATTGTAAACATTATCGCATCGACAATTGTAAAATCGAATTTCAGTATTCCGAGTCGCTGAGGCGTGGCTCTCCAGGCGTATTACAAATGACGCTAGAGACTACAGTTGTCCTGCTATGTAATGGTTGAAAGTACTACAACTTCAATAATTTTTTTCTCGGAAACTATAAGGATTTTACAAAAAATTTTTTCTCTCCTAAATTTTTTTTAGGATATTGACTCCATTTCTCATGCTGTATCTACTCCCAATTTTTTTTTAATAAGTTGTGAATCACCCTGTATATATAAACCAAAATTCTTTTTTAGACGGGGATGCAGCCAAGGAAGAAAAAGTAATACTCTTTTAAATTTTTAAGCTTTCGAAACTATATTTTTTTCTTCATCAGGAAAAAACTACAAACAGATACAAGTTAAAATTTTCCTTATAAATAAGTCATTAAAGAATTACTTACTATTCTATAATGAGAGAGAATTTAATGACAAATTTATAAGAAAAATTTTAACTTGTATGCTATTGTCGTTTTTTCCTGACGAGGAAACAAGCTTGAAAATTTAAGAGTATTACTTTTTTATCCTTGCCTGCATCCCCGTCTAAGAAAGAAATTTGGTATATATATATACAGGCTGTCTACTATAAGAGGGCCACTCCTATGTATCTCGCTTAATATACGACGCACGTCAAAAATCTTTATATGTTTTTTGTTACATTTTTTGAGGCCTTTATGCCTGTAGAAACAAATTTGAGATCCATGGCCAACTTTGTGAGTAATCATAAAAAAACCGGAAAAGTACCGAAAGTTTAGGGTCGTTTAACTTTTTTATTTTAAGAGATAGAGAAAACTTATTTTAATAAAATTTCATGGCAAAATTGATATCTTTCACCTGGTATAAACAGATTTTAGAACTATCGTATGTAAATTGCTGCGCCCTCTACACGGACAAAAAAAAANATATATATATATATATATATATATATATATATATATATATATATATATATATATATATATATATATATATATATATATATATATATATATATATATATATATATATATATATATATATATATATATATATATATATATATATATATATATATATATATATATATATATATATATATATATATATATATATATATATATATATATATATATATATATATATATATATATATATATATATATATATATATATATATATATATATATATATATATATATATATATATATATATATATATATATATATATATATATATATATATATATATATATATATATATATATATATATATATATATATATATATATATATATATATATATATATATATATATATATATATATATATATATATATATATATATATATATATATATATATATATATATATATATATATATATATATATATATATATATATATATATATATATATATATATATATATATATATATATATATATATATATATATATATATATATATATATATATATATATATATATATATATATATATATATATATATATATATATATATATATATATATATATATATATATATATATATATATATATATATATATATATATATATATATATATATATATATATATATATATATATATATATATATATATATATATATATATATATATATATATATATATATATATATATATATATATATATATATATATATATATATATATATATATATATATATATATATATATATATATATATATATATATATATATATATATATATATATATATATATATATTTACCAAAAACACAAAGTTGAACTTCATCTGGTTCAGGCAAATCGATACGAAACTGGAGATCGCATAAGGCACATGGCACCATCCTCCTTAATTTGAAATAAACAGTTTGCAATAATCTGTGAAAATGATTGCTAATATTGTAAGGCTGATGAAATTTGACTCTGTAGATTTGAGTAAACATTTGTAGATTTTTTATGATTTCTAAATCGTCTAAACCCGGCACAATTTCAGTATTTACAACATGAAAACCATCCGGTGGACGTTCTTCCATTAATAATCTCAGAACTTCCTCATCTTCTGGATCATCAACCTAAAACATTTGCAATTACTTATTTTTCTTTCCCAATATTTGGTGACTTATAAAAAACCTACTTCTAAAATACAACAATCTTTATTGCCTACTGACAAATCTACTGACGTCGATTCATCTTCAGATTCATCCTCAGATAAAACGTGGCCATTTTGGGCTTCATCCTGTTAGAAAATTCATTAATATATTTTCCTTGTAATTATAACTATTTACCTTAATTTGATAAATTTCCTTATTCTTCTTCACAGTGTCATTCAAACGTTTCTGAATATTAGCTAATTTTTTGTCACCTGAGACTTTGTCGGACACCAGCTTTGGTAATATTGGGCTCGGCAATGGATTCAAATATACTGCTGTACCTGTAGCTATTCCCATTATTATTCGTTCCCCAATAGACATACGGAACTTTAAACCAAAGATTGCATTCATACCTTTTATTTTCAATTTATTTATAAGTAACCTATGCAGCTCGTATTCTAAGAAAGGCAATCCATCAGATATTTCCTTGGCTATTGATTCGCCTCGTATATCTTTTAAAGGCCGACATATATAAGAATCGATAAAGCATCCCTTACCAGTACATGGAATAGCCTCTGGTGGTTCTATTGTTGCTATAAGAACTTCTGGAACTTTTCCTTTACTAAATAAAAAAAATTTTTTTTTAATCTCCAATAAATTCCAATGGACTATTTGTTACATGTTAAAATATTTTTTATACTTACTGACATATTGCACATTTTGTAGCTGTTGTTTTTATTGGAACATTATTGCTATCATATGGAAGATGAGTAATAGTACAATTGCTATTTATCTGATTGTTCATTGTGTGCTCTGGACTTTCAAAAACCTTATTACAACTACTCTAAAATATTTTTTTTATAACAGTGTCTAAATTTTATTAATATTTTTTAAATTACCATATTAATTCTATCTCTTTCAACTGAAACATTCATAGAATCTTTAACTATATTTTGCCTGGATTCGTCAATATCTTCAGAACATTGAAAATCTATTATAGCTGCTGTACCACATGCACTCAAAACGCAAATATCATCACTAAAAAAAATTCAAACAATATTAAGTAACAGCAGATGATGATTCTGATGAAAGTGAAAATATTATCAGTTAATTCCTTTTAATGTACAAAATTTTCAGTTCTACTGTAATTTCTTAGCAGGGGGTGTGGGCACATGTTACCTAAGATGCTTGAATCTGATTTTATAGAAATAAGCACCGATGTCAAAGTAACCTCAGCAGCGCCGGACTGGCCATAGAGAAAAAAGGCCCAACATTTAATTATATATATTTCAAAAATTTGAAACTTTTTTAGAATGGAAAGCAAAAAAAAATTAAAAAATTTAGTCGATTTTTAAACTTCATGTTTTTTTTGGGACAATTTATTTAAGAGACCTTCAAGTTCAACCACAGATGCTTTTGGGATAAAGGAAGTTCGTTATTTGCATGTTAGTCAGAATGATGACATAGATGATGAAATTACTTCGAATGTTAAAGACAATCAAAGTAAAACAAAAAAAATCTTCCAAAGACTGTGCTGTGTGCTGCTATAGAATTTTAAACAAGTATAATCTTCTGACGGGCGCTTATCCAACGCTTAGTTTACCATACAAATATCTCCTCTCTTTATTTTACGCAGATGGCTTGTGAGCGATCGTTTAGTACATATTTTAAAATTTATCAAAAATCGGTTGCAAAATTCCATCGGACAAGAAAAATTAGAAGCCTTTATTCTTATGAACTCTGAAAAAGATATTTTAAACAAGATCACGATTGATGCAGTACCTAATTGACTTACTAACTTCAAAACATCCATGTTTTAGAAATAAGCTTTTACTATAATATTATTTTCAGATTTGTCAGATGTATTTTAATCGAAATTGCTGAAACGATTGAAATTAAGTTTCACATGTATGTTATTCTTTTGTACACTATTAGGTTAATATCTACATAATATGATTTAACAATACGCTTTCCTTGGTTTTATTTTCGTACAAATAATTGTGGTTTATTCTAGAATTAAGTTCTTAGATTACAGCTCTCATATTTTCATGTCTTATTTAATATAGAATACAAAATCGTATTCTATGGTTCAAGCTTGATGGATTTAGAAAAGTCTCTAGTAAAAAATTACCGAGTAAAGCGCTTAAAAGTGGTTGAATGCAAGGTAAAATTATCCACTGAAAAAAAATAAAAGAAACCATAAACTAATTGATGGATAAAATAAATAATACATTTAAAAATGTTCAATCACCTCAACTTTGGAATACTCGACATAAATAACGACTATTTCAAAACTGTACACTAGAAAAACCCGTTTACTTTTTACTACGGCAATCCTAGTCAGTTTAAAATTTTTTAGGGCCGCTAGTTTGAAAAATTCCCGGGCTGCTTTTTTCTCCCAGTTTGGCACTGAACCTCAGTAAAGGCAAATTGTTTTTAACTTTTTAGTTCTTCAAAATTTTCAAATTTCTTCTTCAGTCTCTAAAACTGTTTTTGGGAGCACAGGTTCTTCAATGAGTTTAACACCGCTGCGTTTTACAGAATGATAAGGCCATTTCAAATTCAAACACCCCGATAAAAGTTGTTTTTTTTTTTAAGTAGAATACCAAATATTGCATGTATCAAATTTTATTTTAAAAAATCAAAATTTAGCATATAAATTTAATCATAAAATATTATTATGATGTAGGTCATGGAATAAATATCGTCAAAAACAGATAAGAAGATAGTATGTATATTCTAATAATACATATTACTAATTAATATCAGAGATTTGGACTTTTTGGCAGACTGGTTCTTTATAAATAAAACAATTATTTATTCAAAGAAGTTTGGTTCTTGATCTAGAGCTAATGTAGGGCTAGACCATATACATATTATTGAATTGAATACAAACTTGAATTCAAATAACCAAAACCATTCATAACGCAGATTAATTATTATTATTTTAGTGTTTAAATTTTAATTTCTTGAATATCATTCTGATTCTAATGCCATTATTATTGATTTTCTTAATATTTCTGTAGCAATTTGTTTCGATGGCTTTGTAATATTATTAGAACTAATTTTGTTACTGTTTTCGATGCACATTTTCTGTTTTTGAGGTATGGCTTACTTTGCCTGTAATAATAAATGCATAAAATACATTTTTTTTTTATCAAATCACATTTAAGAGGATACGAGTATAGTCTCTAATAATGATTTCATGAATTCTAGCACAAAAAAATATCGAAGTAGGTCCTTGATTAGTAAAAACAAAATATGACTTTTGTCTAACAGTATACTTAGTACAGTTTTTGATGTTCTACCATTTACAGAAAGTCCTAATTGAAATCGATTAATGAATACAATTTTTATTCAGGATGTTCAAATTTGAAATGGGCCAGTCTATATACTAAATTAATTTCAACTACCACAGACTTGATGATTCTGAATATCCGAGAACAGCATTACAGTTCAAACTACGAGCATGGGAACGTATTTCCATTCTTAACTCTGACCACCAGGTGTCTCTAGATTCTGGTTCATCAACATTTGAAATAATTTCCAATCTTTTAACGGACCTGGCACTTACTGCACCACCTACAATATTCAACTGCTTCAAGTTATATCCAACAATTAGATTAGATCAATCTCTCTACCTATTTGAGCAACAAATCCAGGTGGAAACTTGGTCATTGTCAGAAAGGGATATTCTAACATGTCAAAATTTTCCTGATGAACTTGAGATCTCAACACAACATTATTCCGCATGAAGTATCCACTTGGAATTCCTCCCGATCTGTCACTTCCAGTTAGGCTGTTCCCTGATAAATATATTTAGTAAAGATGTGCCCGATTAAGCAATAGGCTACACAAAAATTTCCTAAAAAAATCTAAAATGCTAGCCTTCTGTTACCAGAACAAACATTTATTTCTTAACCCAAAACAATTAAAGACAGCATCGACAACTGAATAAACACAAAGGGAATATTATATGTCGGTATATCCACTATGGGGACAAATTTGATATGACCTAAAGTACTAATACATGTTAAACATAAGGGAGTGATCTGAGGTCAAGGGGTATTCAAGTGTAATTTTTTTCTGTATATACACAAAAGAAGGCTAGCACAGCTAAATGTACACAAAGAAATAGAATTTACAATTAAGTGTTGGTAACAGCATGATTTTAGATTTAATTAGTAATGTAATAGACAATAAAACAATGAGGCAAAAAGATGCAACAATTATTTTTAGCAAGCATCTCATACTCACTTTTTCTAAAGAATCCTAAGAGTAGAAACAAAAAACCAAAGAAATAAGGTACATTTAAAAAACTGTTTTAATCCATATTTTATATACGAATAAAAACACTAAATTTACAAAAGCATAAATAAAATTGATGAAACATAAATTGAAACTAAGCAGTTTCAATAAAATTTACGTTACGTTAAATAACAATGACACTATTTTTATTTACAAATTATTTTTTTATTTGGATGTAATTCTCAACTTTACACATATAGGTATAATGTATTGGTATTTAGAGTCTACTGAGGTATCACATAGGAACACAACCTACAAAAATATCATATTGAAGTTGTGAAGTTAAAATAAAAACAAATGATTACATATTACCAGTTATAAAAAGAAAAGAAAATTAATTTCTTAAAATGTTTTGACATTCTCTCCCCTGCATCGTCTGAAAAGTTGCCACTGGCAAGTAAGCAGGTCGACCGTTCTGACCTTACTCAAGATTTATTTAAAAATATTGTTTTCATGTTATACATGGTGATTCGCTTTCTAGGATTAGGACTATAACCACCGATAGATCTCATCAAAATAATGTCATTTTGAAGTATACACTTTTTCTTCCAAAGGCTTCCTTTTAGACATAATCTCTTGAAAAAAAAAAATTGTTTTTTGTTCTTAGGTATTTATTTTTTTCTTAAACTATGAAAACCATTTGTTTTATATTTAGTATAAAGCGTACGAATGAAAAGCTCTATTGATTTTACTAATTATTGTGAAAATAGATCAATCACAGGTGTCCATAGGGGCTCTGATGACCCCTATTTTTAATATAATTTTGATGCCACTGGAAATTAATGAATATATTTTTTTTACATTGCGGTTTCTAGGGCAAAAAGGTCACTTACTATTTTTAAATGAAATGAGAAAAATTACTTATGGTTTTTATATGTGAAATGGTTTTAAGTTTTCCAAACAAAGTAATACAGAATAAAATATTTCATACTGAGAAGCAAACACAAATAACAATTAATAATATAGAATAAAGGAAAAAGTATCACAACAAATGTTTGAAATGTTGTTCTTGAACCTCGATGCATTTCTCACATGACCTAAATAAGCTTTGAACTGCTCTCCTAAACATATTGGAGTTGTAAGAGTTTCACAATTATTTTCAATTCTTCTTGATAACATTTCAAGAGTACGGACTGGTGAACTGTACTGTACACCATTTCTTTAATAAATCCCCAAACGAAATAATGCATGGGATTTAGACCTGGCGATCGTGGCAGTCAAGCAATGGGACCGGTACCAGGTTCTGATTCTGGTACTCAGGCATGATTCATTTCCAAAATACGCCCTATCCAACGACGTGGATAATGCTTCCCGAGCCACTGCCTAATTTGAAGACCATAATGAAAGCTTTTCATTAATACACTTCATACTAACTATAAAACCAATGGCTTTCATAGTTTAAGGAAAATTAAATAAAAACAAAAAAAAAATGTTTTTTCATCTCTAAAAGGAAGCCTTTGGAAGAAAAAGTGTATACTTCAAAATGACATTATTTTGATCTGTCAATGGTTAAAGTCCTAATTATAAAAAGTGAATCACCCTGTATTTCACCAATTTTCATTGGTTCATATTGTTTTTGTAAAAATATTTCAAGTTGTCTTCAATATTTTAATTATCAAGTAAATAAAGTAGGCAGTTAATAGATAGGTAGGTACCTAAAAACTTAACATTATCTATTGTAAATTGTACATTTCTAGGTAACCTGTGTTAAAATAACAAAATATGAAATAACTGAGACAACGCCAATAACAACGAATTTTCTGAACGTTAAAAGAATGGTGCAATAGATCTTTTAGTGTTTTTATTATTATATTATGGGTTTTTATGTGTATAACTGTATATATATTTCCTTCGGAATTGGGTTCTGCTGTGATAGTCTGTTAAAAAAAGGATAAAAGAAACAGCAGCGATTTCTTTTTTGACGATATGTTGAAAATCTTTTTTTTAACGTATCGACGTACCACATTGCCGATTAAAAGTATTATCCTGACACGCTTACAACATCTAAAAACACAAGCCTTTTTCAAATTTAAACTAAAAAAACATAATATTACATTGTAAAAAATTTGTCCACTGTAGGATTGATGCAGTTTTTAAAAATTTTTTACGGGGAATGGTTGTTGTTTAAGTTTTATTTAATTAACTATGACAAATGTAACAATAAAAGCCTTTTGACAAAGTTCCTGATCAGGAAAGAAACATCAAGAAAGAAATCGCTAGTGTTTTTTTTATCCTTTTTTTAACTGACTGTCACACCAGAACCCAATTCCCAAGAAAATAAATATATTTTAATATTAAATGAAAGGTTCAAGAAGATTTCCACATTATATATATATATACACAGTGTGACCCATTTCAAATGGAAACACTCGCGTACAAAAGTTGTTTCTGGATCGATTTGAACCGGATTTTTTTTAAAAGATAGATCTCCAAAAGCACTCTCATGATGCAAAATTAGAAGGTGAAATTTTGATTTTCAAGGCCTACTATGAATTTTTTTCACTGTCAAATTTTACAAAAACTGTTTAGCGATTTTTTTATTTAAAATCTATCTACGGCACTGGATTCTGCATCCCCTAAAACGGTTTCATGCCAAATTTCATAAATAAATATTTTATAATGACGGTTTTATTACAATTTTAATATAGGCTTCATTTAATTCAATACTTTTATAGTAANCTGCAGAATACGTTTTTTCTTGTTCAAAAAAAATATCTTGCATGTTTGTAGAATTTTCATTACAATCATTTTCAGAGAGTAAATCAACCTCCGAACAAACATAAGGAAGAGTAAAATTTTTATTTGTGACCTCGGAAAAGTTGAATACATTATTGGATAATGTATCTACTGAATCAATTCTGTTAGGTCCTAGAGCTGGCATAGATACTTGTTTCTGTAGTGGTACTTTTTTCTTCTGTATCATTTCTACATCTTTAACAATATTACTAATCGTCTCAAGATCAATATTTGAGTTTGTGTATTCCAGAGCTTCATCATCATAATCATAATCTGAACCAGAACTGCTAGAATCACAACTAGATAAACATCTTTCGCTGCCATTATCATCTGAGGAAATTGCAGGTTCTGAGGCTGTTTTACTTAGTAAGTTTGCTATTGGTTCCAACATCTCCAAAGTACCACCGTCATTATTGTCATCTTCATTGCGTGTAGGATTTTGGACTTCCAAAATACAACTTAAACTGTTGTGAGCTCGAATAACAGATCTAGCTAGTAATTCAGCCATAATACTCGATTCGCTGCTAGGTTTCTTGAAATCCTTCTTTCTATTGTCAACAGACACGTCCTCGTCCAGTTCCTCACCGATACTATCACCCATTTTTGATTTCAAAACAGTCATTCTTTTTGATAGTGAGTTTTGTGAATATTTTAAATTCTTTAATCTGTGAGATAATCCACCACTTGGTATGCCACGCTCATCTTCTTGTTTTAATAAAGTCTTTACAGATATATGTGGAATCTCCTCATTTAAACCTGGGTTTGAGTAAGCTGTTTCTAAATTTCCCAAATCCAAAGAAGTATATAATCTTTTGGAGAGTTGCTTGTACCTTGAATAGTTTGGATCTGGTAATACAGGATAAGGACGAAAAGTAAGAGGAACAGGAATTAACAAATTTCGTGTAGCGCTCAAGCGAAAGCTTTTGTCGCCACCCAGGAATTTTAAGTAATTTTGAACACGCCTGTACAAAAACAGAAAAATTAATAGAATTTTTAAGTATAATATAAACGTGCTCATAAAATTTAAATCTCATAAGAGACGAGTTGTTATAAATAAATGTCATAAAAGATATGGATGTAATTAAAAGCCATGTTCGCAATAATAATGATATTTTGCATTGAATTTAATATTACGCACAGTCCAACCAATTCCATCTGAAGGTGAGATGCGCAAACACGTAAAAGTTAGAGGATCAGGTGGTGGCACTACAGTACAGGGTTAGTCACTATAATCCCACAACTTATTGTGATTTTATTATTGAAATTACAAAAAAGTTTTTAATACAAAATATTTATGTAACGGTCTAATAAATTTACTTTGGCTTATTTCTAACTGTCTTGAACCATTTACTCTTGTGGCTTGTGTGGACTCTTGTGGCCTTTCTACAATAATTTAATATTTGAATTTACCAGGGTGAACCTCCAATGAATATTTGCTTACCTTGAAAATATAGTAATATAGTTAGTTCTAATTCTTCATTAGGAATAATTCTTCGTTTCTGTCTTCCAAGAGATTTTGTTTCTCTAAAGCGTCACTCAATGTCGTAAATTGCAGCTCGAGATGAAATTGGAAACCCGAGATGCAAACGAGAATACTCGGCGTGCACTGCATTCACATTATTATTATGATTCTTGTAAAATAAACAGATAATTTCAAATTTTTCTTTCTCACTAAACATTATTTCTTTGTTATAGGAAATAAATTAATTATGATAAATAAACTTCTGTCAAAGTCATTTGTTTGTTTTGCGTGCCTCATCCATAGCCACTCTGTGATCCGTCAGATATAAATTTCGCTCCTGTTTTTTCAAAAAACTGAAATATGTATGTCGAAAAATCCTGAATCAAACAGTAACATATTATATATTTTTGGAAATGAGAAAAATTTAATGAAGCTATATATATATATATAAAATTTGAATAATTACCTTTAGGTGTAATACTCAGGTCTGAATCCGACGATCTTCTATGTATACAGGGCACCCCACTTGGTCTAGCTGGTGATTGGTCTGCTTTATGATGTTCAGGACTTTGTCCAATCTGAGCGGCATTTTGATCTGCTTGTGCTGAAGTGTTATGCCTATTGGGGGTTATGCATGCATGCTTAATTTTGCTACAATTAGAGCCTTCATCAATTTTCATATTGTCAGGCAAATCATTGGGAAAATTACGAGGGGTTCTATTAGTATTAGTTAGTACATTTGAGGATGGGGTAGTAGTCCAGGATGATTCATCAAGGCAAGAATTTTTCGATTCAGATGTTTCTTCTATATTACATTTTCTCAGTGTCAATCCATCCTTTTCACTTTTGCTATGAAATATTCTAGAAATTATATTTTTATGTTCTTTCGATTCACCTTGACTGGATTTTCGAATGCAGTGCAAAAAACCGAAGAGCTTTTTACGCTCGCTTAATGATGACTCATGGCTTCCCTTTTTCTCTTTCAACTGAAATAACTTAAATTTATGTTCCTCGTTATTGTGCTTCTTTTTCAAGGATTCATTTAACATTATTTTTATTAGAGGTTTATGTAGTTGTGTATCTGAAAAACAGTTCTGTCGTTCCAATTTAGATGTTTCTATCCCCAAAGATTTAAAAGAGGCAGACCGTAATTTGACATTATCAAAAACACACGGCTGAGATTTCTGTCTTTTAAAATGTTCAGAGTTAAGTGCAAGTGCTGACGCAAATGGTGCTCCTAAAACTGTGTCATTATTGTTCTTTACATAATCAGAGAATGAGAGCGAACTGGCCGATTTTGGAATTTTTGATTTTGGTTTATTTATTAGTTTTGCAGTTCCCTCATGTGGTTTGTCATAAATTTGTACATAGTCCGTATCACTTTTAAAGATGGGAGACGTAGCTGGGGTACATGACCCTATAAGACTTACTTTCTCTAAAAGCAATGTTTGAATAGCAGTTTTGACTAAACCCGTGTCTTTTATCTCAACACTTCTAATAGCTTCAGAAATACCACTAACTTCCTCTGGTACTATATTCATCCCTCCTGCAGAATACGTTTTTTCTTGTTCAAAAAAAATATCTTGCATGTTTGTAGAATTTTCATTACAATCATTTTCAGAGAGTAAATCAACCTCCGAACAAACATAAGGAAGAGTAAAATTTTTATTTGTGACCTCGGAAAAGTTGAATACATTATTGGATAATGTATCTACTGAATCAATTCTGTTAGGTCCTAGAGCTGGCATAGATACTTGTTTCTGTAGTGGTACTTTTTTCTTCTGTATCATTTCTACATCTTTAACAATATTACTAATCGTCTCAAGATCAATATTTGAGTTTGTGTATTCCAGAGCTTCATCATCATAATCATAATCTGAACCAGAACTGCTAGAATCACAACTAGATAAACATCTTTCGCTGCCATTATCATCTGAGGAAATTGCAGGTTCTGAGGCTGTTTTACTTAGTAAGTTTGCTATTGGTTCCAACATCTCCAAAGTACCACCGTCATTATTGTCATCTTCATTGCGTGTAGGATTTTGGACTTCCAAAATACAACTTAAACTGTTGTGAGCTCGAATAACAGATCTAGCTAGTAATTCAGCCATAATACTCGATTCGCTGCTAGGTTTCTTGAAATCCTTCTTTCTATTGTCAACAGACACGTCCTCGTCCAGTTCCTCACCGATACTATCACCCATTTTTGATTTCAAAACAGTCATTCTTTTTGATAGTGAGTTTTGTGAATATTTTAAATTCTTTAATCTGTGAGATAATCCACCACTTGGTATGCCACGCTCATCTTCTTGTTTTAATAAAGTCTTTACAGATATATGTGGAATCTCCTCATTTAAACCTGGGTTTGAGTAAGCTGTTTCTAAATTTCCCAAATCCAAAGAAGTATATAATCTTTTGGAGAGTTGCTTGTACCTTGAATAGTTTGGATCTGGTAATACAGGATAAGGACGAAAAGTAAGAGGAACAGGAATTAACAAATTTCGTGTAGCGCTCAAGCGAAAGCTTTTGTCGCCACCCAGGAATTTTAAGTAATTTTGAACACGCCTGTACAAAAACAGAAAAATTAATAGAATTTTTAAGTATAATATAAACGTGCTCATAAAATTTAAATCTCATAAGAGACGAGTTGTTATAAATAAATGTCATAAAAGATATGGATGTAATTAAAAGCCATGTTCGCAATAATAATGATATTTTGCATTGAATTTAATATTACGCACAGTCCAACCAATTCCATCTGAAGGTGAGATGCGCAAACACGTAAAAGTTAGAGGATCAGGTGGTGGCACTACAGTACAGGGTTAGTCACTATAATCCCACAACTTATTGTGATTTTATTATTGAAATTACAAAAAAGTTTTTAATACAAAATATTTATGTAACGGTCTAATAAATTTACTTTGGCTTATTTCTAACTGTCTTGAACCATTTACTCTTGTGGCTTGTGTGGACTCTTGTGGCCTTTCTACAATAATTTAATATTTGAATTTACCAGGGTGAACCTCCAATGAATATTTGCTTACCTTGAAAATATAGTAATATAGTTAGTTCTAATTCTTCATTAGGAATAATTCTTCGTTTCTGTCTTCCAAGAGATTTTGTTTCTCTAAAGCGTCACTCAATGTCGTAAATTGCAGCTCGAGATGAAATTGGAAACCCGAGATGCAAACGAGAATACTCGGCGTGCACTGCATTCACATTATTATTATGATTCTTGTAAAATAAACAGATAATTTCAAATTTTTCTTTCTCACTAAACATTATTTCTTTGTTATAGGAAATAAATTAATTATGATAAATAAACTTCTGTCAAAGTCATTTGTTTGTTTTGCGTGCCTCATCCATAGCCACTCTGTGATCCGTCAGATATAAATTTCGCTCCTGTTTTTTCAAAAAACTGAAATATGTATGTCGAAAAATCCTGAATCAAACAGTAACATATTATATATTTTTGGAAATGAGAAAAATTTAATGAAGCTAAGTATGCACTAATATACTTATAGGGTGTTCCATTTAAAATAAAAATGTTTCTTTAATTTAGTGATTTCAATTCAATTGATTTTTCTAATACTTTATTATAAAAATTCATATCAAAAGCTAAATCTATTGTACTAAAAACTTTTTTGTAATTTCAATGAAAAAACTCAGATTATAATTATTGTACCTGTACAATGTGGAGAAGAAACGAAAATGGGTAAAATCCTTGATATTATTACCTACTACCTTTATATTCATTAAAACAAAATTATTCACATAAAGATCTATTTATTTATTCGTTATTTAATTATTTATTACTATTCTGTTTTGCGTGATAGTGTATAACATTTACTTTACAAGTTTTGATATGCAAATGAGTTCCGTGGGCCACTCCTGATGGTTGAGCTACCTACCAGGCACTAGCACTAATACAAGAATCCAGGATATTAGGTCTAACTAAACTAACTGGGCGTATTTTCATTTTCAGTACATCCAACACAGATATATACCTCTCGTCACTCTCGTTTTAATAAACCCAACCACTACAACACTTTTCAACATCTGATCTGACTGTCGTGAAAGTGGAATGTGTAGTCAAGGGCAAACAAACTGCTGTTGTCATTGCATCAGTTTACTTCCCGGAGGATTCGGCCATCCCACCACCAACGAGGGAGATGGAGGAACTGGTAGTACACTGTCGTACCCAGAAATTGAAACTTATCATGGCTTGTGACACCAATTCACACCATGTATCTTGGGGCAGTGAAAACAACAACACAAGAGGCAAGTCTTTATATGATTATATTAATGCTAGCAACAGGTAATAGAGGCTGTGTATCGACATTTGTTAATTCAAGAAGTCAAACATTAATAGATGTCACGTTGACTACGGCGCGCATATCTAACACATTCCAGAACTGGTTTGTAGCAGATACTGCCTCAATGTCAGATCATCGCTGGATAAATTTTGATATTAATCTTACTAAAACTCCTAAAAAATCGTTGCGGGACCCCCGAGGAACTGACAAGGATAAATATCTATGTCACCTCCGGGAGAACCTGGCAGCGGTACAAGATCAGGAGCCCAAGAATAATGAAGTGACTGAGGTATTCGTGAATACTGTACTGTTGGTGGAGCTTGGAGCTGAGCGAACTGAAGAAGAAGAAGGCCATGATATCATTTAACAAGGTAAAAATGACAAGACAAGACTCAGATTAGGAAACATACAAAACCCACCTGAGACTTTTAAAAAAATTGGTTAAAGGGATGTATGGAGATTGAGGACTACTCGCAGGCTGCTAGGCTATGTAAGATCCTTGCAAAAGAGAAAGATCATGATTTAGATCTACTAACTAGAATATGCTCACCAAAGAGCCACACAAATCAGTGTGGGGGATGCTTCCACGAGAGGAATTGTTGTAAGGGAGGTGTTTTATCACCACTGCTGTGGAACCTAGTTCTGGATAGTCTCCTATGCCACCTCAACTCGGAAATTGACATCTATACCATCGCTTATGCAGATGACCTCATTATGCTGATCAGTGGAAAATTCGAAGGGACTCTTTGCCAAAAAATTGAAACAATCCTAAGAACTATTGAAAAGTGGTGCTCTGTCAGTCAACCCCAGGAAGACAGAAATGGTTCTCTTCACGAGGAAGAGAAAACTGGAGCCAATAAAGGCACCGACTCTCTTAAACACTACGCTAAGCTTCGCATCTGATGTGAAATATCTAGGGGTAACACTCGATGCAAAACTAACATGGAATCTTCATTTTGAAAGAAGATAAAAAAAAAAGTACATATCCTGTGAGCAGTGTCGCAGAACCGTTGGCGTTGGTGGAACCTGGGGAATGAAACCAAAAGTGATTATGTGGATATACACTGCCATTGTGAGACCAATGTTAGCTAAACAAAGCCAGGTACAAAGGATTGCCTGTCTGAGCATAACTGAAGCTATGCGAACAACACTCACCATAGCAATGGAGGTAATGCTGTGTCTGCCACCTCCGGATATCTATCTAAGAAAAGTGGTACAAACGGAATTAGCAGGTATAACCAGTGATGTAAAATGACCGTCATTTAAACTCGTGACGGTCATAGCCGTCATGACCAGGTCATGACGGTCATTACATGTCATAAATAGTTTCAGTTAGGAAAAATAATAGTACTTAAATGTAAATGGTTGTTATCCCCTCACTATGCAAAATAAGTCATTTTTCTAAAATATAAATTACTGAATCTCAATATTGCCTTAATAAATTCATCAACAGATCTGTATTTATATCAAAAAAGTTTTTAACTACAAAACAAACAACACAAAAAACACATGTTCTTTGGCTATAGATGACAAGTATAAGGTGATAAAACAAAAAATTATTACCATTGGTTAAGTTTTAAGGACACAACGTCACCAGGTGAAACATAAACCCACTTCTTACCGCATTGACAATGAATATTTAATATATGTTAATTTAATATTAACATTAATAAAATCATCAAAAGTATCAATAAAGTGATTTTATTTTACTGTAATAAATAATAATAATAATAATAATTTAAATATTTAAGAAACAGAAAATGTCATGACTCGGTAATTTTCTATGCACCTTCACAACGTGAGGAAGTGTGAAGCACCTCTTTGTAGGGGTTGTGAACAGGAAGACGAGACAGTACTATGCGAATGCACTGCCGTCTCGTCAATAAGAGAATCCATGTTGGGAGAACGTTGGCCTTCTATGGCCTATATTAGAGAGATCCCCCCTGAGCAACGTCATCCATCACCGTTTTCTCTGTAATAGGTTGGTTAGTAGTAGCTCAGGTGGATCGATCTCCTAATGGGAGGGAGTACAAGGGGCCCAATAAGGCCTAAATGCTGTAGCTTTTAAGCTACCCTCCCTAAATTCCAGATGCCATGAGCCACTCCTCCACTCTGCTACTGTGCATTCAATTTTCAACCGCCAAATGAAATTAAATTGAATTGTACATTGCACATTATACAATATAATGGTTTCCGTTTACTTTTATAGAACTCAAGGGAGTATTAAGTAATTTAAATTAATAGTATTATTCTGTAAGTTTCATGCGATGTTATAAATTTACATTAATAAAAATTTTTTTTCTGTATAATTTTATATAAGGTAAGTCGGGTACATATGGATCGTCTTTATAATGTTACAATTTTTATTAAGTTGTTTCAAAAGAAAATAAAATGCACTATCTTGACCATTAACATAGTAAAATAACACTCATTATAGCAATAAAAATAAATGTATTTTTCAAAAATACACATGAACAAAATATGTACATTTTATTTTTTTATTAATAAACGAAAAGTTTTAAAGGAAAATTGCTAGAGAGGTAAAAGTTTCTAAAAGAACCAGTTCATCTAATGCGTATTTTTGGATATCGAGTTTTTACGAAATATAAAAGTTATGGCAAAAAATGGCTTGAGGGGTGGTTATTTCAACCCCTTTCGAGGGGTTAAAATTTTCGAAAAATAGCTGAAAACTCGCATCTGTATTAGTAAACAACTTGTAAAAAATTTGTTATTTGTACCTCGTTCGGTTTTCAAATTACTGCCAATTTTCATAATTTCTTTGGAAACTGATGGCCCATATCTCTTCAGGGGTGAACAACTAGACTAATTTTTTCTGTCATAATTACATTTTTAATAATCGATTCTTTTTTTTTAATTTAAATCTAATAAATGATTTAATTAATCAAAATATTATTTAAACCTATAAATTATCAATAAATAAATTACAGTATTTAAAGGATCTTAATAAAGCATATTTATGTAATGTAATGTTGTAATGACGTCACACTCAGTAATTAAATGCAGCCGATAAAATAAATTTGTTCTGTATAGCATTGACCCTTGTCAAACTATGAAATTTTATTGTTTTAATTTTACCACACTTACCTTGTGATGTTGCTCGGGGACTGAATTAAAATCATTAAAACTAATCGATCGCCAGTTGGCAGGCATTTGAGGATTTCGTTACTTTCGATAGCTGCTCCATGTGATTTTTGAGTATTGGACCCGTTGAAAGCATATAAAAAGTTACTTTCACAACTAATAAATTAACGGTGTAAAGTGTCGAGCATTAACATGCCAAAACCTTTATAAAGTCATGCTCAAGAAATGGCGGAGTTCTTAATTAGTTATTAAAATATATACATATTATAGTTATTATCAAAAGTGAATTTTCTTAAATATTCTGAAAATATTTTAAATCTGGCAACATCGTATCTCTTCACACTGTGACGTCATTGCAAACTTATTGTAAATAGACTACAGAAGTGAAGTTCAACACATTCATCTAAAATAATTTATGTATTTAATTATCTAGACTGTTGGTTGCCATGGTCTGTTCATTTTCCCTATCAAAGGCCACCTTTTCTGATGACTAAACTGGTGCAGCGAGCAATACAACACCAAAACAAACCATGGCGATAAACCTAAAAGCTTACACTCAGACAATTTTGTACCTAGACACTACGTAAAAATTTAAAAAATACGAATAGGTAACAAGTACTCACTCTTCTTTCATGTCATCCATGGCACTGGGTGGGAGGGCAACATTGATCGACTTTACCAATGTAACTGCTGTCCCGATACCCCTTGCAACAATGCCAGATTCACCCTCCAAATCATAATTCTGTCTGTACCCAATAACTGCATTTCCTCCTAAATTTAAAGCTTTTACTCCAATCTTGCGCTGAAGTTCACCCGAAAGTTTAAAAAACAATGTCTGCCGTGCCTCATTGGAAGCCCTAGGAGTTCGAATTTTATCAATCCACTGGTATTCTGGATCATCATTAACTAACAATTCTTCTACAAACCCATGAATTACTTTGGCATAATAACCTTGAGGAACTGTAGGTGCTTAAACATTAAAATATAGTTGAAGTTACATCCTTATACAATGGATCCATTTCAAATGGAAACACCCTTGTAATAAATTTATTTATTGTCCAATTTAATCCGGGTTATCATTTTCTTTTTTTTTCAAACGTCAAATTTGTAAAAAAATGGTTAGCTATTTTTTTTATTTAAAATCAAATGTGTTTTATCATTTCTATTCTTCCTAAGCAGGGTAGTAAGCGATATATGGAATCATAAATAAAGTGCATAATTAAAAGAAACGCAAATAGTTTACTCTTTTTTGAAAGTATTATATTTATTCCTGTGGGATACAGTTAAATCGAAGTTATACAAAGTACATCTAACCAAGAGAGAAGGACTAGGGAGATAATAACTGAGGCTGGCCTAACATTTAATATAAATAAAACTGAGCTTTTAGATAAAATTCAAAAATTTTAGACTGAGGCTAGAATTTTAAAATTCAAAATTATTGATTAATTTGAAACCGAGTATTATAATGAGCAAATTAGTATGTGCCTATTTATGATTTTACAAATTGTTGATTCCATTTAGAAAAAACAGAAGTGATAAAAACCATTAATATTAATTTTACAATTAACAATGAATAATTTTTCACAAAATTTATTGGTTTTACAAAGGTGATGCCGTTTAAAAAGAGCTTACTAAATAACTTACAATAAAAAAATTGGACACCACAGGAAGATTGTCTAAATCTATTAAAATCAGAAAACAGTTCTACTTTCACTGTTACATTAACTTCACCCCTTATTCCATGCATTGTGTCGTATACCGGTATCCATCCAGAAATTTCATGATGTGTGGTACTGTCACCATTAAATCCATATTTGACCAACTGACCATCAACGGGCAACAATAAAGGATTTAAATTAAGATATACTTTACCTATAGCATCATTAGCTGAATAGGTGTCGTGATCCATTAACCGGATTTGCAAAGGCTCGTCTTGTAATTCTGAATCGTCGACCTTAAAATATTTACTTATTTTCACTATTAAATACTATCGATCTATCTACTTACCTCGAACCTATACCAGTCTGTATTCCACTGGGGGTGTAACGATTTCCGACATACATCTGTCTTATATGTTGTACTACCTAATTTAATCTCCACATAAGCATCTGTAGTATCACTAGATCTGTCCATTACTGGTAAATTTTTACCAGATGATATTTTCACTTTAACTTTTCCTGGCATGGATCTTAAAAATAAATTAAATTTAAATACATATTATGTGAGCTACTTGCGATTTATATATATACACACACACACACTTACATTTTTTAACTTTTAAACTTCTAACTGTGACAAACGTATTTTTCTATTTTTGAGGGCTCAAAATCTAGGAAATTCCTGGTAGTCTCCGACATAAAAAAATAATTATTTACTATATAGCAGAAATAAATTACCTATATACATATGAGTAACTAAATAAGAGGGTTTTATTCCTTGTCTTCTGTTGGTATCAACGGCAGAGTACCGCCATCTGTAGCTGGTGCAGCAAACGAGAGACTCGGAAACCACGGACCTTAAAATAATTGAGGAAATTGCATTGGAAAACACAGAGTAACCTATACTTCTACTATCTAAAAGATGTCGCTGCACTATAATGGCGGTAAATTTAAATCTAATAAAATACACAAACAATAATAATTAAAAGTATTTCATAAGTAATAGATCACAAAACAGCTACTAATGGCACATAACTATATGTGCTAATGGTTTAAGTTAATAATTAAATTAACATGGACCATCCTCCCTGCGGGAGCCAATGAGCGCGAGCATTCATTTCCAACCAATCGCGTGCGTGCTAGAGTGAGACGGCAGAATGCACTGAGATACTCTCTGTCTCTCTCGAACACTCAGCCACACTTGTCGCGATGGTTGCTAGCTCCAGTAGTATATGCTCGAAGATTCTAAGTGTTATATAAGTCCATCGATTTTTTCGGCCCAAAAATTTTAGGGGCCCGGAAAAATATGAAAAAATTCCTCCAGACTATAACTGTACTGGCAAATCCAAAACTAAAACGAATTTCTCTCCAGCTCGCGTAATTTTCGAGATAATCATTTTTTTCCCACAGAATAGCAACTTACAAAAATAGCGGACCACAGCGGCGTATTCTGCGGCCTTAACTACATACGGGGTGCTGTCTTTAGGCGGCATTCTAATTTTTTGAGAATTTTCACGAAAATTATCGTCAAAAAAGTAAAATACGTACCTAAAGGCGGTTTTAGGAATTATTATGCAGCAAGTATACAGGTGTGTATTGTATGTTGCCTACCTAACAAAAGTAGTAGAACTGGAAGGAAAAATATAAAAAATCTCGAAAACTGGCGGAGCTAGAGAGGAACTGACGGCAGTTTTGGATTAGTCAGGGCCGTTACTGTCCACCTGAATTTTTTCAGAATTTTCAGAGGCCTAAACATTTTTGAGAAAATCGACGTACTATACAGGGTGTTTATTAATTGAATGCCGATACTTAAGGGTGTGAATCTTTGGGTCATTTTAAGAAGAAAACTTAAGCGGGGAATAAAGATATTTTCTGAAAACAGACCTTCACCCAAGCAGTCTTTTCAAAAACTACACTATTTTCTGAGAAAATTATATGTGGCCTATATAGATAAGGTATTGAGTTGAGCTAGGAGTTGACATATTTTTTATTGCAAAATAATTTGTATTATTGAAGTTGTGGATAAATAAAGTATAATAACAAATTGAAATTTTATGTCATAGATCTTTATTATAATTTTACATCTCCTTCGTACAGATTTGAGGAACTGACCTGCAAAATATTAGACTGAATTATGCAGTATTACCAGCAATGTCTAGATTTTTGTGAAATTATTTCTTTGGTATCAATTTATTTAAATGTCATTAGTAGAGATACGCACCAAAGAGAGAACAACAAATATGAATGTTTGGAGCTTCTAGTCCAGATGGAGCCAGTATCAAACTTAACCATTAAATTGTATGGCTTATAGAAAACTGTAAAACATATTTTAATTTTTGACTTCGTTTCGTCGTGACTGAATATATTTCGCAGTCACAAAATGCTCTCATAATTGAAAAATAAAATATATGACGGAACTAAGGAAATACGTCTAGGTCTAGGTTTGTCAAATAGATCATCATATATCATAGTATGTTACCATATCAGTAAGAAATACTTAAAGTAATAAATACAGCCCTACCATACCTAGGCTTGTTTTCTGAAAAAGAAATGATCTTGGAAGAGCATAATGAACAGTAGATAATTGCGCCCGCGCACAATAAAGAGATGCCGACTTTTAGTTTTTATACGGTTTCAACTATCTTCGTAAACACCATACCTAGGCATATATTGTTTTCTGAAAAATAAATTATTTTTTTGGAAGAACAATAATGAATATTAAATAATGTTTGAAATTCTATGCTTTTCTGTGTGGTTTTTTGTTTGACACCTTATGTGCAGGGGTTGATTTATTATTATTTTTTTTTCATTCAGATGCGGCTAAATTTTCAATAAAATTGATGTTAATAGCATTATATAATTATCTTTTAACAAATAATCAAATAAAAATAGAAATATTCTCTTTCTAGTAAATAAAAAAGCAATAATAATAATAATAATAATACATTCCTTTATTTATCCATATAAAACCACAGAATTTTTATACATAGTTTTAATGTAAGTAACTAAAAAAATATTGCTTAAAATAGTTAAAATTAGTATTTAACAAAAAACTTAATTTATACAGTAGTAAAATTTTACAATTTTTTTAAATTTTAGCCAAATACAGATTGTTGATTGTGGATTGGTGCTTATCGAAAGAGAAGAAAAGGGTAAATCTTTATGAATTTAATTGCAATACTGGACTATGCTCTTACACTTGACCCAACGCTGTTACTTCACGCCATGCAACAAAAATGTATATGCAGTACAATGCAATTATTCTTTGTCTATACGAAGGTGCATAACGGTGACCATATCTTTTTTCAGAAAAAATGTACAAAATTTAGAGAAATAAAACGTAAATGCAAAAATATTTTATAATTGCAAAATATATCTTTTTATTATCTGAATGCACAGTGGGTCAATGTTTAACTGAGAACAATATATTTGTTTAAAAACAGTAAAAAAATAAAAAGCTTTGATATTGCACAAATAGTTGGCTTTTATAGTCCTTAATATGTGATTAAAATTTCAGACCGATTCATCCAATAGTTTTTTCAAAATTCTAAATGTTTATCCCAGAGGCATTAATTTTGCAATAACTTGACACGCAAAATTAAAAAGATATTTTAATTCCGCGGGTGTAATATGAAAGAGAAACACTTCTTTTATTGGAAGAAATTATTTTATTGCAAAAAAATTATTTTTTACCACTGCAAAAACGTACCACAAAAACACTGTAATTTTTGTCTTATAAACAATTAGAATAAATTTGTTGCTAGTATATTTAGAGAGATTATTTTTCCATATTCATAAAACTGGAATTTTTACACAAATTAAAAAAAAAGGAAAAGTTGCTCTAACTTAATTTGGGGCAAAGTTAGACACTTTTTTAAAAAAATCACAGCTACTTTGTTTATAACAATTAAGTATTAAGTTAGACCAGTGCTTAAGCCTTCAAAAATGGTAAAAAGTGAAAAAAATTATAGTAGGATGAAACCCATTGGAAAAGGAAGAGA